ACAGTGTCAGTGCTTTTTTTTTTTTTTTTAGCACTGATCACTGTATTGGTGTCACTGACATCAAGTTAGTGCCCCCCAGTGTCAGAATGTCTGTCGCAGTCCCGCTAAAAGTTGCTGATTGCCGCCATTACTAGTAGGAAAAAAAAAAAAAATCCCATTATCTATACCGTCATTTATAAACGCTATAACTTTCATGTAAACCAATTAATTTACACGTATTGGGATTTTTTTTTTCAGCAAAAGATGTTTTTTTTACTGGACATGTTTAATAGCAAGAAGTCCAAAATATTTTTTTCTCAAAGTTGTCGGTCTTTTTTTTGCTTATAGCACAAAAAATAAAAGAACCGCACAGGTGATCAAATACCACCAAAAGAAAGCTCTATTCCTGGGAAAAAAGGGCGTAAATTTAATTTGGGAGCGGCGTTGCATGACCGTGCAATTGTCAGTTAAAGTAAAGCAGGGCCATAATGCAAAAAATGACCTGGTCAGGAAGGGGGGGAAATGCTCAGGAGGGCAAGTGGTTAAAAGGCAATATAACCTTACAATTTCCTTAAATAAAATGTTTTCTGTAGGTTTGGGTGTTCAGTGGGCAAACCGAAAATTGTATTATTTTATCCTTGTGCACAATTCAGGCATACACTCTGAATTTCTCCATCTTTAATAGTTATTTAATCCCTATCTATTTTGCTAGCAGAATATTCATCCAACCACATCACACATTTGATACTAGGCCAATTTCAACCTGAAAAAAATAGTGGAATGGTGTTCACTCCTACAATCTAGAAAGTAAAAAGGGAACAGGGATTTGTAGAATGTAACGTATGCCTCCCATGTGTTAACAGACCAAAGCTGGCCATTAGTTGGATCAAAAATTCAGCCTATTCTGCAGGAACCGGCTAAATTTAAATCCATTTATGGCTGTTTCCACTTGACAGAGGTCGATAGAATGGTTAACTTCTGTCCAACAGGACTATTAGGAAACTTTCCTTGAAGCAGAGGCTGCAGCCAATCTCAGCAGGAGCGCTGACAAGTGATCCCCTCTGTCAGACTACAATAGCACAGCGGGAAGGATTCCTTTATCCACCTCACTAGCTTGTGTGGATGGGGGATTTTTTATTTTTTTTTTACTTGCTCCTCCAACTGATTGAAAGAAACAAATTATCAATGGCCAGCCTTAGTCTCTCTGTAGGGTCAGTAAAGGCAATACATACCTAATGGTGATTATTTCTCCAGGGTTGGCATGAATGCACCAACTACAATTGACTCTTGAAGGATATTCTAGAGGCCAGCCAGGACTAGTGATGACTCCGCTTGGTTGTCTGATCTGTTCGGGAATCCCTGCACAAGCTGCAACAATAAAGACAAAAAGTAAATAAATGTCATCTTTAAACTTTATATTAAATAAATAAAAAGGAAAAGTTCTATAAAAACAATACAATCTAGCCTGAGCTTACAAAACGCTAAAAGAATCTCTTCCCATCCCCATGTGACAGCTACTCAGGCAATCAGCGCTGCACTGCGTAACTAAATGGAGGCTCTAGTGAAACAGTGAAGTGGCGAGCGAGTGACCAGATATGATTATTGCACCACATCCCTTAAAATTGCAAATAATCAATAGAGAAGATGGGGCTTTCAGGGTGCATAGACATGAATACCACACATTAAAAGAGTTATATAATTTTTATTTCGTATTTTGGTAAAACAAGAAAGGAAAAGATACAAAAACAAAAAAACAATTTCAATCCTAAGAATACCAACTGAGATTCAGACTTGGTTAAGTAAATGTAGTATACTCCCTACATGTTTCGCCCTCACGGGCTTCTTCAGGGGAGATTTGAGTAAATTTCTACCGCCAAGGCAGTCTAAAAGTATATATATATAAAAAAAAAAAAAACTGTTCAATTACTAAACAACTTTAATATATCCAATACAGGGTATTGAATCCATATATATGTATATATATTTGATTAAATGGCTCACCCTGGATGTGAAAGCTCAGAGCTAGAATAAAAAGACCTAAAAAATCTTAATTGGCCTACAAGTCCAAAACAGTTGTAGAGGATATAATGGGCATCAGATATCATCTAGGCACAATGGGATGAACAAAAAAGATTACTTAAATTTAATTTTATTTTTATTTTAAATGGAGGATCTAGACCTGGATGAGGTGACAGTCCCATCCAGACCACCATGGTGGTGCCACTGGTGTCTCTCCCGCTTGGCTGCCCTGTAAATCTCCACGCAGGACTCCTACAGGACCTGAAATGTTGCTACTTTTAAACACTGCTGTGAAGGGGGTTACATGAAGAAGGGGGAGGGGTGGGATGAGAAGTAGGGGTTGAGGACACTGTTGTGAAGGGGGAGGGGGCGACATGAAGGAGGGAGAGGAGTGGGATGAGAAGTAGGGGTTGAGGACACTGCTGTGAAGGGGAAGGGGTGACATGAAGAAGGGGGAGGGGTGGGATGAGAAGCAGGGGTTGAGGACACTGCTGTGAAGGGGGAGGGAGGACATGAAGGAGGGGGAAGGGTGGGATGAGAAGTAGGGGTTGAGGACACTGCTGTGAAGGGGGAGGGAGGACATGAAAGAGGGGGAAGGGTGGGATGAGAAATAGTGGTTGAGGACACTGCTGTGAAGGGGGAGGGGGTGACATGAAGAAGGGAAAGGGGTGGGATGAGAGGGGCTGAAGGTGGGGTTGAAGACGTAGATGTGAAGGGAGGGTGGGCTTTGATGTGAAGAGGACTGTGGACACTGATGTTGCACAGAACAAATGTACATGCACTTTCAGTAGGCAAATGGCTTCTTTATACAATCAACCCCATAAAGTGTACATAAACCCAAGAACAAAAATATACTATATTGCAGCTCACCAGTCCTTGGATGTGGATGCTGCATTAGGTTTCCTTTTTTGTTGACAGGCAAAGCACAGAAAAATACTTGTTAGACATCCAATGTCCTTTTGTTCCACTAAATTGAAAACAGCCTTGGTGACAACACTGCTGCTCCATAGATACATTATAGAAAGGGGGTTGTCATCCTAGGACAAGAAGTGTATTACTGGCAAGATCACCAGGTAAAAAAGGAAAAATGCCTGAAAAAAAGAAAAGGAATGCAGCCACCACATCTGAGGGCTGGTACGCTTCAGTATATTACATTATTGTTCTTGAGCTTAGATATTCTTTACTCTTCACAGTTCCTAGATATTGTATCTTACTGGGCTGCTGAAAACATTTTCTTTAACTACACGTCAAGCATACTTGTGTCACCATCATTTATTCATGGCTGATTATTTTTTAAATAGCCTGCTGGCATTGATAATGGATTATCTTCGATAAGCAAGGAACAGAGAATACAAATGTGAGAGTCATGGGAACAGATGAAGTACATAAACAGGGGAAAGGAGGTGTGTGATTGAGCCTGGGAGAGTTGGAGCCGATCATCCAGAACCTTGTTATGTGTCGGACGTTCGGCCTGGCTATAGATAATTCAGCATTACTGGTTGAAACCCCCCCCCCCCCCCAAACAAAAACAAAAAAGCCCAAACATGAACATGTTCCCCCATCCACACAAGTGAGGTGGATGGAGGAATCCTTCCTACTGTATTATTTTAGTCTGACACAGGGGACCTCTCCACAGACATAATACATCCATATCCACATTGATCAGAGGTACAGCTGATTGGCAGCAGCTGCTGATCGACAAAAGCTTTCCAACATTCAGCTTCTGCCGAGTGGGAACAGCCATACGTGGGTTCGAAATTTGGCTTGTCCCCGCTGAACCGCCCAAATCTCAATCCATCTATGATTTCCCTAAATCTTCCGCTGTCCTCTGGGACAACCCCAGAACACATGCAGGCAGCACTCACACCAACCCAGTCTCCCCAGACCTCTGCCCATTCTACCTGTAAAAGTCCTTCCCTTCTCCGTGGGGCAATGGGTCTTAAAGCAGTATGAACCCCAAAAGCAAACATCTATTATATTACAGCTTACCAATTCTATGATGTGATGGCTGTATTAGTTTTCTTTTTTAGGCTTTCTTTCCCCTATTTTCACCTGGTGATCTGACCAGTAAATCTGTTTTTCAAAAGAACAAGCTTTCTTCCAGATATATCATTACAGAGATGAAACACCGACAGGGGTGCTTACAATGATCAGCTTTTATTTATGTAAAACATTTATCCCAAAAAGGAGAAAAAAAATGGTTTCTGTAACTGCCTATAAAGTATTAGCTGGAGTTTGGCTTCAGTTTGTTAGTGTATCTAAATATGCTAGAACATCTAACACATCTCACAGCCCATACTGACATTGCTGCTGTCCAAAGATACCCCCTGTGCTCCTTCATCCAGAGTGGAGGTACTCCAAATACAGGAGGAGGAGTGTTACTGGCCAGATCACTAGGGGAAAAAGCCTACAAAAAGAAAACTGATGCAGACTCACATCTAAGAATTAGTAAGTTGCAATAATGCTACATTTTTGGTTTTGTGTTTAAATACCACTTTAACCCGTTTTGGGTCAGAGATTCCTTAACCTAAGCGGTATGATTCTTTCCGATTTTTTGTGCTGAAAGCGGTACCATTTTTTTGCATGGAAATATGTAGTTTTTTATTGTAGGCTGTCATTTTTAGGAATAAGTCACTGAAATCTGTCCGAACAAGAGTCTAGTAAACATCCCGGGTGGGATAAAATTTGAACCACGAAATCATAAATTATAATTTAATAAATAATCATAAAAAATATTAATATAATAATAATAAATTTAATTCAATAATATAATCAAACCAAAAACACTGAAATTTGAAATACAGAGGCAAATTCGCACATCGCTGAGCAAAGTCGCAAAATCGTTTTCAGTGTCTGATGACGAATTTCCCCCACAAATCATTATCACTCAATTCTGCAAGTGGTTCTGATTTACTATCGCTGTTCTCTAGCTGATCTAAAACCGATTTTGACGTAAAGGGACGCTTTTTGGACACCATGGACTTTTTCTCTAAGTTTCCAGGCAGAAAGAACAGTCAAAATGCAGGCAGGGCACAGGACAAAGCAGTAGGGACAAAATGTATGTGAAATGGGTTGAAACAGCAATGTTTTACTATCTAATAATCATTTAAAAAAAAAAAAAAGAAGACATTTTTAAAAAATTTCAAATTCGCTGCCGGTTCCGGCACCCGTACGTCCCAACGTCACAGGGACCAGAACACGGAAGCCGGATGCCGGCATCGGCCGGAGAAGATGGCCGGGGACGCTGCAGGGGATGCATCGCGGGAGCGAAGGACAAGGTAAGTGCTGCAGGGACTCCCTGAGCAACGCCGCATGGTAAGCCCAAGTGTAGCTCGGGGTTACCGCTTTTGGTACTGAAATTTTACCCCGAGCTACACTCAAGAATACAGATAAGGAGGTTAAGGAATCTGATGAAAGTTATGGACCTCCTCCCCAGAAAGATTCACATAAACACCAGTTCGCATGCAATGAATAAACGCACTTTATTTTATTGAAATTTGAATGCCTCATAAGTATATGACATATACAAAAACTTTGAATAAAGTAAACAATCTTAACAAAGAAAGCTCCTTTTCATGGAAAAAGTAATGGCCACAAACAAGAAATGAAATGTAAAAATATTCTAATACTAATTATCTTACAGGAAAAACACCTTTTATCACCAGCAGGTGGCGCCAGGACACCTGAATGTAAACTCGCAAAACCCAAATCAGCAGGCCCATTTATAGTGTCAATCTATACATTAGACCCGCATTTCTCACCCTTGTCTGAGTCAAGGCACCCTTTAAAATTCTGCGCAATCCTGAGGCACCCCATTCTAAAATGTAAAAAACTAAACAAATAGTTTATCATAATGCAGCAACATCTACAAGCTTAAGACACCCAATATTAGAGGTGATTTATTCTTATAAAGCAAAAGCACTCCTTTGCACACTGGTACGGACTAGTATGCCATTGTTTTTCTTCTCCCTCGCTTAGCTAATGTGACCCCCAGTGCGGACAGAGAGGAGCAAGCAAGGATGCTGTGCTGGAGCCTGACATTCGCCTTATCAACTGATGACGTTGTTGGTTGTTAGGACGCCGGCGGCTAGAAGGTTGTAATGGCGCACAATGGAAGCCTGTGGCTATATCTATCTAAAAGGTAGGCTTAGTCCAGCTGCTGGCTTGTATACAATTTTTGGGAAATGTTTAGGCATTTTGCCAAGGCACCCCTAAAAGAAACTTGACGGCACCCCAGGGTGCCTGGACACTAAGGATGCACCGAAATTTCAGTTGCCGAATTGTTTCGGCTGAAATAAGCCCTATTGGCATTTTACCGATATAAAACAAATGAACAGATACAGGGGCCAAAAATGTCCTTTGGCCAGTGCAGTAGAGGAGCGGAGATTGAGAGAGTAGGTGCTGCTGCATCTTGGATCCGCCCTGCTCTGTTCTGACCGGGGAGAGATGTGAGTTGTGCGGACCCCTCCCTCCTACAGGAGGAAGGTGCGGCTGTGCAGTGATGCTTTGGCACATGCCCAGTGTTAGTGGTCTCGCCTCTTGATGGACCGAGCTGGGCTGCTTCTAAGTTTACTACAAGGTGAGGGGAGCATGCAACTGGTTTCAGGGGCCGCAGGCTATACATAAAATGGGTGTCAGGGGCCGCAGGCTATGCATAAAATGGGTGTCAGGGGCCGCAGGCTATGCGTAAAATGGGTGTCAGGGGCCGCAGGCTATGCGTAAAATGGGTGTCAGGGGCCGCAGGCTATGCGTAACATGGGTGTCAGGGGCCGCAGGCTATGCGTAACATGGGTGTCAGGGGCCGCAGGCTATGCGTAACATGGGAGGGGTCATGCGTAACATGGGGCCAGGGGCCGCAGGCTATGCGTAAAATGAGTCAGGGGCCGCAGGCTATGCGTAAAATGAGTCAGGGGCCGCAGGCTATGCGTAAAATGGGAGTCAGGGGCCGCAGGCTATGCATAAAATGGGTGTCAGGGGGGTCGTGACACTCATCCCATGCACAGCCTGTGCAACTGACACCATTACAGTGTCGGGGGGGCGCAGGCTGTGCATGGGATGGGCGTCAGGGGGCGCAGGCTGTGCATGGGATGGGCGTCAGGGGGCGCAGGCTGTGCATGGGATGGGCGTCAGGGGGCGCAGGCTGTGCATGGGATGGGCGTCAGGGGGCGCAGGCTGTGCATGGGATGGGCGTCAGGGGGCGCAGGCTGTGCATGGGATGGGCGTCAGGGGGCGCAGGCTGTGCATGGGATGGGCGTCCGGGGGCGCAGGCTGTGCATGGGATGGGCGTCCGGGGGCGCAGGCTGTGCATGGGATGGGCGTCCGGGGGCGCAGGCTGTGCATGGGATGGGCGTCCGGGGGCGCAGGCTGTGCATGGGATGGGCGTCCGGGGGCGCAGGCTGTGCATGGGATGGGCGTCCGGGGGCGCAGGCTGTGCATGGGATGGGCGTCCGGGGGCGCAGGCTGTGCATGGGATGGGCGTCCGGGGGCGCAGGCTGTGCATGGGATGGGCGTCCCGGGGGCGCAGGCTGTGCATGGGATGGGCGTCCGGGGGCGCAGGCTGTGCATGGGATGGGCGTCCGGGGGCGCAGGCTGTGCATGGGATGGGCGTCTGGGGGCGCAGGCTGTGCATGGGATGGGCGTCTGGGGGCGCAGGCTGTGCATGGGATGGGCGTCTGGGGGCGCAGGCTGTGCGTGGGATGGGCGTCTGGGGGCGCAGGCTGTGCGTGGGATGGGCGTCTGGGGGCGCAGGCTGTGCATGGGATGGCGTGACCTGCGCACCTGACAGTCATCCCATGCACAGACTGCACAACTGACACCCATCCCATGCACAGACTGCACAACTGACACCCATCCCATGCACAGGCTGCGCACCTGACACCCTTTAACTTCTTCCCAATCGGCCTATTGTACAATGATGGCAGAACGGAAACTCTACAGTGCGATCTATCACTGGCTGTGTCCACGGGACACGGCCGATGACTGATCACTACACCGGCCCGCTGCCAGTGTCCATGTCCATTTCAGTTTTTGGCCAAGTGCATCCTGAATTTTCATTTTGGGTTTCAGCACCAGAATTGTAATTTCCATGCACCCCTACTGGGCACCCTGTTTGAAAAAGGCTGCATTAGACAAGCAAGTCTGGTTATCTTCTGTGGCTCCCAATCCTAAATTCAGTGTGGATTTTCAACCTAGTATTTTCAATCATAAAAGGTGCATGGCCATTCTTAAAGCAGACCTCTGAAACCTGTTAAAGCACATAAGCTGCGGTTGGCCATCTTGATAAATGGACAAGGCAGTACAGACACCTAAACATGTCAGGCATCAGAGAGATCCTATCTTGCACACTATACAAAACCAAAATTAAAAATGTATACACCATTAGGTTTATATAATTTAACCCCTCCTTCACTGCAGCCTATATACAGATCAGCCCTTTACACCAGAGTTCTTTTAAGGACGCTGGTCATGAGATAAATGTATAATCTGCTACTGCTCATCTCTTTCTGAGGATGCCATTTGCCTGTCTCTCTGAATCCCTGATCTGGAACAACCATACAGAGACGTGCCCAGTGCATGGGTTAAAGTGTTACTAAACCCCGGACCCTGCATTCACTATATCTGGTCTCCCACAGTACACAGAACATGGAAATGCAATTATTTTAGTAAATATAAACTGCTAAATACCTTTTCTCATCAGCAGTTAGAGCAGTCTTGTGAGTTCTATCAGTGTCCAGCAGAAGACTGGTTAAAGCTTGTAGGAGGAGTTTTCTTTCTGCTTTAGTAGGATGCAAAACCCCTGACCTCTGTCTGGAGAGTGCCGATTGGCCCTGTGCTGATCACATGCACTCTCCCAAGAAAAATAAACCTCTGTAGCAATACACACTAAACTGTATGTGCATAATGGCTACAGTTAGGTCTGTCTTATCAGGAGATAAGCTGTGGACATTTAAACAAGAGGAGGAGCAGAGAAGTCAGGATCAAACAGCTTTTTTTTTTACACAATGCAGATGATTAATCCCTTAGGTTCCACAGTGAGTATAACAAGCATGCTTTACTGCATATACAGACTGATTTTCCGGTTGTGGGTTTAGTAACACTTTAACTGCTCGCTTTATCCAGGGGTGCACCAAACGGCTATATTTACCCAATCCTGCAAACCTCCGGAAAACAGCTCTCCTCCACGTCCAGTGGTGGACTGTTCCTTCCGTTCTCAAGCCCACAGCGGTCTATGGAGGTGATAACATCAGGAACAGTCCATTCACAAGACCACTAGCGTGTGGGGGGCAGGAGCGGCAGGGACCGTCTTGTGCTCGGAGGATCAGTGAATTAGTTAGGTATATCTCCGCTCTCCTCACCCCTAGGCAAAAACGAGCAATTAACGTCACGCACAACAAATTCTTTAATTGAAAAAGCTGAAGTTAGAAGCCGATTGGCTACCATGCACAGCAACACCAGATTTCGCAGTCTTCATAATGGGATCAGAAATGGCAGTCCATGTTTCTTTCATGACAGGCTCCCTTTAAGAGGTTAAAAAGCCCAAATCTATGAGTCAGTTAAACCATTTTCCTATGACGGATTGTTTTTTAGCAGTTAGGAGAAAAAAAAAAAAAAAAGTTAGTGAGACTTGAATTCGTAAACAAGTAACCATCTTCTTCCCTCCACTTCCATTCCATGGAGGCCGGGAACAATTTTGTTTCATGGAATCACTGAATGTGAATGCCTTCCCATCAGCCGACTAATGCAAGCTTTACGTAGGAAGGAAATTAGGCAGACGATTTAGCTAAGTGAAATCTGCTCAGAGGCAGGCAGATGTCACTTTAATCTATTCGGAATATTTTCAGAGTTCAGCTGCTTAATTTCCCGCATTGCATGCAGCAGAAAACTCCACAGACAAATGTGTGGCGGCAGCTTACATCATCATCATTTTTTCTGGGGCAGCGGGCTGGCACCGCGCTTACAGATCCATCTCTGTCCTTTGCACACAGACTGCATGATGTGGATGCAGTAAGGGATTTGGTATGGAGACAATGGCATTAGTCTGCAACCGATCTTAAAGCTGAACTCCGGGCACAAAAACATTTAAATAGGATATAAATCTATTTTTTTTTGTGTGTCTGAACCATATGCCTTTAAAATCCCAGATATTACCTTGTAAAAATAGTAGCGACATCATCACTGGGCTCCACATAACCTCTTCAGAAAGCAGAGCAATAGGAGGGACCAATAAGGCCTCACCCACTACAGGCTGCCTGCAGATAACTTTGCACCCGTCATCAGATTTCTGTTTGTTCTTAACCACTTCCTGTCCAGGCGTTGTATATAAACAGCCGTACCGTGGGAGTGCAGGAGTGGGTTGCCGA